TCCTCCTAATATTTTCCTCCTTTATCCACATCCTTCCGAGTCTTGGATACACTAATCACAGACATTAAGTGGCAGTGAGGAGAAATGGAGAACACAAAGCATCCCATACCTTATAATATTTAGATATTGAGCGATGTGGCATGAAGCCTGTTGTGCCTTCTGGAGGATCGATGTTGAATACTGTCTGGAAAATGGATGGGAAACAAATGGAAAGATTTAACAACCGTTTCCAGCAAAATCCTTAATGTAACTTTGCACTGAGAAATATCCCCACAAAGGTTACTGCTGTGATAAGCTTAAATACATCTCCTTGCTCCTGTTATTAAATAAAGGCAGAGAATCTTGAATAAATATATTTTTTTACAGGCAACTCCTGCTAACCACATGGCTTTCTCATTGCTCCAAATACATGCAAGCCATATCTCTAAATACATTCAAACAAATGACTGTATAATTATTCACACTGTTCATGACTTCTGGCTGCGGATGAACAAACACACGACATGTTCATGAGATGACAAAGAGGCACAACTGAGCGGAAAAGAATTCTGAATACCCTTAAAATGTTAGCCATTATACCCAACACTAATCATATGTTACTCAGGGGGAAAAAAATCAAGTTGTAATCATATCTAGCAGTCCATATATTGAATTCAAAGCTTCTATTAACTCTTCTGCACAGAGTTATGCTTCTTCCCCTTTCCTGTGTGTGATGTCCTATGACTAAGGGCGATGCTCTTTCAAACAGATGGCACTCCAGTGCAGCTTCAATAAAAACAGCTGCAGCTCTCAAATATTTATAACTTCTGTTAATTTTTCTAAACAAAATTTCTTCAGACAGTTAAAAGGAATTATCCAGGCTCATAAGAATATCAGCCGGTTGCAACAAGATGTTCTGTACCACTCAGAAAAACAAAAAGCACAATTCCTGGAAATATTAACTTCTGAAAAATAGACAGAGATACGGTGTGCAATGAAGATTTTAGTAGGTGGTCTTCTAAAAGGAAGGAAAAAATCATTAATAAAGACAAGCTGGTTAGAAATTAACCCTTGAAGACAAGGTTCTGTAACAAGAAAGCACTGAGTTTAACCAATGATAACTCTGTGGCCTCGCCTTACCTAAATATGTAACAAACGTATTTAACATAACAAACGATTGCAATTATTTGCAGTAAGTGTCCATGCCCTCAGCAGCAAAGGGATCGTGGCTTTCAGCTCTTCCAATTCAAACCACCTCTCATCCCCCACAGGGCACTACTGCAAACCTTGCAGGATCGTTTTAAATCCACCTATATAACTTGTCTTTAGCATGAGTCCACAGAGTCTGAGTACCTGTCTTCATTTCTAGTGATACACGGGGTGTTATTTGTGGTGTCCTTTGGGACGTGTGCGCTGCTCCCCGCCAGCGGAACAGCAACACGACTTCGTAGGCTGCCACTGTAAGCACAGAGTCATCTTAAATAAGATAAATGAGTCCTGTGTAGGAATTACTGTGGTGACTTGAGCTCCTGCAAGCATCTAGATGCTTTTTAGGAAGATGTGAAATTATAACTATTATCCTTCTCTATTAAATTCCAATTCTAGAAGAATAGGATTCACACTTAAGCTAAGACAGCAAGTAAATTCTTAGGTGAAAAGCAACGATACTGAACAATTCACACTTCCTCTTTGTAAGATTTTCTAGCATTTTAGACAACGTGAGTGCTGTCAGTTGATTTTAGCACGTATGACAACATAGACCTGAGCCAGATCATTCAAATTAAAGAAATAAAATCCAAGACCCAGAATAGGACTTTTAGAGCACACTGCTAAATTCAAATCTAGATGATCCAATCCCTTTTAGTTTACTTAAATACTACAACAAATGAATAATATCAGGTAAAGGGAAACATAAATACGAATGTTATAAATCCTTCAGCAAGAAGGGAAAATTGCAGTACGTCCTCAGTACTGCACACAGGCAGAAATGAATTTAATTACAAATCTTCTAACGAGTTCTGGAAATAAGCAAGAACACTGAGGAAGGAAAAAAGGACACATCTGCTGCTGCCAAATGCAGAAGCAATTCCCTTTTCAGATTAAATAAATTGCCGTGTTCTTCCTCATTTTTGCTCTTACATAAATTTAACTCTCCTCCTGCCCGTGTTTCCGTTCTCTTTTATCACATTTTTGACACTCCTGTGCACTTCCTAGAAACATAAGTTACACTTGTAAGCAGGACACTTTCCAGAAGAAAAGATCTGTGGCCTCAAGGATTTCTGACAAAGTCTGGCAGCCGATCTATTTGGCAGGATACCAGGGAGCAGAACGAAACCAGAACATTACAAAGAGACTGAAGGCTGCCAGCCACAACAGAACAAACGTCACGGAATTTCTTGCATCAGTGGCTGAATTATAACTTTTAATACAAAAAAAAAACAACCCCAAAACCCCATAAACCAACCCCACACGAAACCAAGACAGAAAAGCAATGAATAATGATTAACACACATTAAAATGGCATGGTTGTGTGAGTGGAAAGAGATCTTTTTGATCCAAAAAAACCCACAAGGTTTTGGGAAGTAAAGGGCTTATTTCACTGTCAGGAAACAGAGTAAATCAACCTGAAAGCTTCACCTTAATGCCCAATAACTCAGGGCAAGATTATGCTTTGAAATCACCAAATTCTGGGAATATGATGAATGTAACCCCAAGCATCAGGAGCTCTTCCAATATGTAACACTACAGGTCAAGTGGTATTTCGTTTGAACTTTAAACTGTCCAAACTCTTTTCAAGTATCACTCATTTAGTCAACTTCAGAGGGAAAGTAGAAATTGCATTTCAGGCCACTGACCCACTGCACCTTCTAATTTTATGGGGCCCAGGTTTTTCAAAATCAATGTTTTACAGCAGGGAGAGGACTGACAGCACCATTTGGATACCCACAAGTGCCACATTCAGCTCCTGTGGCACTAGACAGATAGTTATTTTACAGCTCCTTTAATAATTAAAATACAGTAAATTACCTTTTGTTTGCTTTTTTTCCTTAGCCTGTCTGTTATCTCATAAGAAGGTCTCCTATTTCCAAGCATTGCTGCTAGAAAGTAAACAGCTCAGTAACGCAGCTCCACCTGGTGGAGGCTAAAACCAAACAAACCTAAACCAGGCATCTCCAAAAAGGGACATCAAAACTGTAAAACTGTAAAAGAACAACCTGGGTAAAAATCAAAGTAGCCCATCCCATCCCATCGGGCAGCAGATTTCTCCTCAAAACCCCACAGACTTCCATCACTGCACAAGTGTAAGATGCAATCAAGAATAAAATGGATCTGATGGCTTTCTACATATTTTAAACCAACTCTCCCATCCCTCAGACATACACAGGAGCAGCATTAATTATTTACCTGAATAATATCTGAGAGTTTATGTAATCCAGATGTGTTGACAAATACACCAGTACCTAGGGAGAGCAACACAAGATTACTTTTACATCACAAATATACAACCATTTGTACATATCAGCACAATACTCAATACAATGACTCGAAAATATTTTCTGAAACAAATAAATTGTTTCAAGTTTACACTTACGGCCTGAAAGAAACTGTAAAATCTGCTCTAGTGACTCCAAGAGGGAGGTTTTGGTCTGGAATGTTATTTGGGCTTCTGCAAACAGATCAAAGATGTAGCTGCAATTTACAGAGAAAAAGCACAAATGGGTAAACACTGTAAATAGTCACACAAACACAATTACTGGCACTCTTTTCAAACAACAGTTGTTCAAAGAGGATTTAAGGAAACCCAAACACTTCAATAAACACTATTCCCAGAAGCCAGAATGGCACAACCAATCTCAACAGCTGACCCATTTTCACCTGGGTCTAGAATCTGCTGCACTTTAATGTGCAAACACGTTAACGAGAAGAATTTTACCTTCCCTCTTTGGTGACTCCACTTCCATTTGGTGGCAGCTCCACTGCATCAATAGCACTTTCTAGCTGAAGAAGAATTTCTTTAAGAGAACCAAGAGGGGAAAGAAGTCAGGGTTCAAAGGAACTCACTTCTGGGACACATCTAAGCCTCTTTTAAATCTACATTACAATAGCTGTTATCAAAGATAGCCACCTAGCTGTTCTCTTGATTCTGTAAACAAATCAAACCATCAAATATTATTCTTTAGGTATCATCTCTAAATATTCCTATTAAACTTTAAGAACTTCTATGATCTCAGTTCTTAAAGGAAGCCTAAGCTGTCAGCTAAATGTTAAACTCTTCTTTATAGACAGGGAAAGTTTTTCTTGGAAATGCTTTGCAGACATGAAACATCTCAAGCTCTTGCTATTACACACAGAGTCACAGAATCGCTCGGTTGGA